AACAAAATTGGTATCTATAGCACTTGGTTCTTCTGAAATTCTGGGAAACACGAGTGAAAAGTGAGCTGTGTGTTTGATTTTTGTTGAATCTTCAACAAAATCTGAACAAAATCACATTAATTTTATGGGTTTTGGAAACACTGAGTGAGAATTTGAGATCTGAGATTTGTGCAAGGTTTAAGATGAGTGGAGACAGTAGTTTGAACACTAAACTTCCAGTTTTTGATGGCAAAAGATGGAACAAATGGATGATACAGATGCTTGTGTTGTTTGGTGCTCAGGATGTTCTGGATCTTGTTACTAATGATTATGTTCCAGCTGCAGCAGATGCTACTGAAGAACAAAGATCTGCATAAAGAGCTACGAGGAAGAGGGATCTGAAAGCTCTGTTCTATATCCATCAGTGTGTGGATGAAAGTGTGTTTGAGAAGATTGTTGATTCGACGACGTCGAAAGAGGCATGGGATATATTGGTCAGATGTTACGGTGGTGACGCGTCAGTGAAGAAGATGAAGCTTCAGTCCCTGCGAAAGCAATATGAGAATCTCAACATGAAGAGCAGTGAGAAAGTTTCTGAGTACATCTCCATAATGATTCTGATCACTAATGAGATGAAAGCTTGTGGAGAAACATTTTCTAAACAGATAATCATAGAGAAGATTCTTAATTCACTTACTCCTCAGTTTGATTACATTGTTGTTTCTATTCAACATTCTAAAAATCTGGAAACCATGAGAATAGAAGAGTTGCAAAGCAGTCTAGAAGCGCAGGAGTTACGTCTGACTGAAAGAACTTCTGAGAGGAAAGTTGAGAAAGCTGAAGGCTTCTTTTGTCAAGAAGGACCAGAAGCAGAATAGACGTGATGATAAATTCCAGAAGTCAGAAACCTCAACTTTTGATAAAAAGAAATATTATAAGGGAAAGGAAAGGTATGACAAGAAGAAAGTTCAATTTTATTGTTGTAACAATTTGGCCATTTTGCCAGAGATTGTAGAAACAGAGGAAGAAAATCAGAAGAAGCAAATATAGCCAGAGGAGATTCTGATGATGAACCTGTGTTACTGATGGCTTCTAATTCTGATATAAAGTGTTCAGAAGATTGGTGGTATATGGATATTGGTTGTTCAAACCACTTGACTGGGAACAAACAATGGCTGATAGACTTTGACTCCAGAAGGAGAACAAAGATCATATGTGCTGATGATAAGTATCTTAATGCAGAAGGTATGGGAAATGTCAGAGTCAGAGTGAAGAATGGAAAAAACATTTTGATCAAAGATGTTTGGTATGTTCCTGGAATTAAAAGAAATCTGATGAGTGTGGGTCATCTCATTGAGAAAGGGTTCTCATTTGTTATGAAGGACAACCTCTTGACGTTATATGATTCTAATCAGAAGTTGATTATGAAGTCTGAGCAGGGAAGCAACAGAATATTCAAGGTGAATGTAGAAACAACTGAAGCAGAGTGTCTTAGTGCAGAAGGCGCTGAAGGTGATAGTAAGGTGTGACACAAGAGGTTGGGGCACTTGAACTATAGAAGCTTAGGGCATCTAAGTTCTGAGAAGCTTGTGCATGGCATTTCTAAGATTGTGAAGCCTGAGAAGTCATATGAGATATGCATGAAAGGTAAACAACCCAGATTACCATTTGCATCAGAAGCAGCCCCTAGAGCGAAGCATGCTTTGAGAGTAGTACATTCTGATGTGTGTGGACCATTTTCAGTATCTTCACTTGGAGGAAACAAATATTTTGTGTCTTTTATGGATGAGTTCACAAGAATGACATGGGTAACACTCATCAAGTTCAAGCATGAAGTGTTTAATGAGTTTCAGAAATTCAAGGTGAAGGCTGAGAAGCAGATTGGTCAGAAGCTGAAGATTCTGAGAACGGATGGTGGAGGTGAGTATAACTCTACAAAGTTCCAGAAGTTATGTGAGGAGAATGGAATAGAACATGAGGTTACTTCTCCATATACTCCTCAGCACAATGGTCTTGCTGAAAGAAGAAACAGAACTTTGCTTGATATAACCAGAAGTATGCTGAAAGAGAAGAAGCTACCTCACATGTTATGGGGAGAAGTTGTTGCCACATCAGCATATGTTTTAAATAGGTGTCCAACAAAGAAGCTGGAGGAAATTGTTCCTTTAGAAAAGTGGACTGGAGATAAGCAAAGTGTTAGCCACCTGAGGGTGTTTGGTTTTGTATGCTACAAACACGTTCCAAAAGCTAGAAGGCAGAAACTAGATGATAAAAGCAAAGTAATGTTACTGGTGGGGTACCACAGTACAGGTGCCTATAAGCTTTATTGTACAAAAACCAACAAAGTTGAAATCAGCAGAGACGTTATTGTGAAAGAGTTAGAAACATGGGATTGAAACAAGCCTCAATCAGATTCTGGTGTAGCGCCAACACCAGAGTTAGTTTCTGAAGATTCTTCAGAAAGTTCTGAAGACGAGTCAGAGTCAGAAGATGAATCTGATTCTGAAGACTCTGAAGATGAGTCAGAATCTCAGGAGATTTTAATAGTGGATCTGATTTTGATCTAGATTCTGATGATGATCCAGAATCTGGTGGTGATTATATTTCTGGAAGGGAAAACTCTGAAGACATAGGGTTTGGGGGACAAGCTTCCAGAAGTAACTCTGAAGGTGGTAATTCTGAAGGAAGTAGTTTTGGACAAGGTCCAGAAGCTAGCACTGTTCCGAGTTCTGGAGAAGCTTCAGAACAAGTTCAGAGGCCACAGAGAATCAGACAAATACCAAGTAGGTTTGCAGATTTTAGCATGTTGCATGATACTGAAGTAGATTTTGAAGGAGAAGTCATTTAGTGTGCCATGTTAGTAGATTCTGAACCAGTAGGTATTGAAGAAGCTCTCAAGAAGAAGTATGGTTGAATGCCGTGAAGGAAGAACTTGAGGCTATTGAAAGAAACAAAACTTGAAAGTTGACAAAGCTTCCAGAAAAGAAGAAAGCCATCAGCGTCAGATGGGTTTTCAAGGTGAAGCTTAAGCCATATGGATCAATTGGCAAACACAAAGCGAGACTAGTGGCTATAGGTTTTCTTCAGAAACTTGGGCTAGATTATTTTGAGGTGTTTGCGCCTGTATCTAGACATGAAACAATCAGACCGGTGATTGCTTTAGCTGCAAACATAAATTGGCCTTTGATACATCTGGATGTGAAGTTTACATTTCTGAATGGTCTGTTACAAGAAGAGGTATATGTGTCATAACCTCCTGGATTTGTGAAAAAGAATCAGGAAGGCATGGTATACAAGTTACATAAAACCTTGTATGGACTGAAACAAGCGCCCAGAACTTGGAATCTAAAAATTGATTCGTTTTTCAAGAGGCAGAAGTTTCAGAAATGTGAGATGGAATATGGCGTGTATGTGCAGCATTCTGGTGGCAATATGATTCTGGTGTGTCTATATGTTGATGACATATTGTTAACAGGAAGTTGTCCAGATATAATCAAGTTTAAAGAAGTTCTGATGAATGAATTTGAGATGACAGATCTGGGAAATATGGTATATTTTCTAGGAATGGAGATTCTGTACTCAAAGAAGGGTATCATTCTACACCAGTTGAAGTATGAACTTGAACTTCTGAAGAGATTTAAGTTGTAGAATTGCAAAGTTGTTGTGACACCATCAGAAACCAATCATAAATTGGATTCTGATTCTAATGGGGATTTTGTGGATGCTACGAACTTCAAGCAGTTGGTTGGTTCTCTCAGGTACTTGTGCAATACCAGACCTGACATTTGCTATGCAGTTGGAATGGTTAGCAGATTCATGAGTAAACCAAAGTGGTATCATTACCAAGCTGCTCTCAGGATTCTGAGGTATATCAAGGGAACTCTGAAATATGGAGTGATATTTCCTTCTGGAAGAAAGACATAACCAGAATTAGTGAGTTATTCTGATTCTGACTGGTGTGGAGACAGAGTTGACAGAAGAAGTATTTATGGTTACTTGTTCAAGTTTCTGGGAGGTCCAATTTCTTGGAGTTCCAAGAAACAGCCTGTTGTGGCTCTGTCAACGTGTGAAGCTGAATACATTGCAGGTGTTGTAGCTGCATGTCAAGCTGTTTGACTTCTGAATCTTCTGGAGGATTTGAAGATTGAGATAGAGAAACCTCTGAAGTTGTTGATTGATAACAAGTTTGCAATCATTCTTGCCAAGAATTCAGTGTTGCATGGAAGAAGCAAGCATATTGAGACAAAGTATCATTTTCTGAGAAGTCAAGTGCAGAAAGGAGTGTTAGAAGTTCTGCACTGTAGCACTCAGAAGCAACTGGCAGATGTTCTAACGAAGGCAATAAAAACAGATCAATTTCTTCATTTGAGAAATGAAATTGGTGTTGTTAATTTTTGATAAATACTAAATTAAGGGATGATATTAAAGGGGTAATTTAGTATTTGCTATATTTGGAACATTCTCTTTTAGGGTCTATGTGGTATTCTTATCTTTACTATTTTTGTGTGTAAATAGGTGTACTAGGTTTCATTAATCACTATGCCAAAAATAAGTTTTAGCAGCACATAAAAGAAAATGCTTTTGGAAAAAAGCGCTGCTGTAGGTTTTAAAAAAAATTCGCTTAAAAAAGCGCTTTCAAATGGTGCCTTAAGAAAGCGCTTTTCAAAAGCGCTTCTAAAGGTCACCCTTAGAAAGCGCTTTTTGAAAAGCGCTGCTAAAGCTGGCCTTTCATAAGGTACCTTAAGAAAGCGCTTTTCAAAAGCGCTGCTAAAGGTCAGCCTTAGAAAGCGCTTTTCTAAAGTGCTGCTAAAGCTGGCCTTTAGAAAGCGCTTTTAAAAGCGCTGCTATAGGATATGCTACGAAAGTGCTTTTTGATGTAAAAGCGCTGTTATAGATGACCTTTAGAAAGCGCTTTTAAAAGTTCTTTCGTAGGTAGTTTTATAATAAATATCAAAACACAATTTCAATTATTTCCACTATAAAAACAAACCCTAAATCACATTCTTAATCAACATTCAACCATGTCTCAATTCAGCAGCAACCTAATCGGACTCCTCAACTTCCTAACCCTGTTCCTCTCAATCCCCATCCTCGTGATGGGCGTATGGCTCCACAAACAATCCACCACCGAATGCGAACGCTTCCTCGAGAAGCCAATCATCGCCCTCGGTATTTTCCTCTTGGTGGTTTCTCTCATGGGATTAATCGGTGCTTGTTGCAGAGTTTCGTGGCTTCTCTGGTTCTACCTCCTCGTCATGTTCTTACTCATCGTTCTTCTTTTCGCTTTCACCATCTTTGCCTTTGTTGTTACTAATAAAGGGGTGGGTGAAGCGGTCTCCAATCGCGGGTATAAGGAGTATAAGCTTGGGTATTATTTGAATTGGTTGCAGAATAAGGTTGCGGATGGGGGTAATTGGAAAAGGATTAGAAGTTGTTTGGTGTCCGGGAAGGTTTGTGAGGATTTTCAAGCCAAGTTTGGAAAAGATAGTGTTGAACAATTTCATGCTCAGAAGTTGTCTGCTCTTCAGGTTAGGGTTTTTATCTTCTTTTTTATTGAATTGAATTGGATTTCTGTTCTTGATGATTGTTGATTTTCTGGGTTGGGATCAAAATTTTAGCTTGCATGTGATTTTATATTTAGGGTTTTGTAGTTTGAATTTGTGTTCATGATGTGAGTTTTATAGCAATAGTGAGCTCTAAAGCATGGACTCCGAAGGATAATTGACACCGACTCGTTAACACCGATAACAATAAAAAAAATGTAATCATAATATCGGTGTCGGATATTCAATCACCGACACATTCACCGACAGACCTTTTTCAGAGAAACTTTATGTCTAGAAATTATGATAATGAATAACAAAGTGATTAGGAAGTTTCTGAATATGTGAGCATGCAGAGATTTCACGTTATAATAGTACTATAATGCATTCATGTGTTTGTTTTAGGATTAAATAAATTAGATTTAGTTTATAAGGTAGTGCTACTTTATACTTTTGCCTGAGTATTCAATTTCAAGGTATCTTTCTGAAAAGTGGATTTTTGAACTGGGATTTCTGAATAGTTATGGTTTCTTTCTGAAAAGTGTAGACTTTTTCTTATTTTTTTAACTGGGATTGCTTTTCTTTTGAAAAGGGTTGTGTTCTTTATGGAAACAAATTTAAAATGCATCTTTTGTTGAACATTTTTGCATCCTTTTTTGTTACTAGTTTTTCCCCTTACTGGATTCTAGTGCTATTGGGTTAAAAGTTGATTACCTTTTTAATGTGCACTTTTTTTTTCTAATGACTAAGAAGCACTGGTTCCTTGTAGCTTTTCCAAACTTTAATATATTTTGCTTCACATTATTGGTGTTATCTAGTGATCAATATTTTCTTTTCTTTCTTCACAGACATTTACATATAAGAATCTTCTTCATGAGGATTTTCAACTATTTTGCTTATAATATTTATGCTATTTGATAAAACAATACAACTATATATTCTTATTTGTTTTTCTATGTAGTGTCCTCAACAGTAAAACGGTATAGATTGCGGATACTTCGTTATGCGGTTTATCAAAGAAATCCTTCAACTGAATCAAATAGAGATTCCAGTCACAGTATAGATTTATAACTTAGGATTTGTTTTATTATTTCTCAGATATTTCATATAATTTTTTACTTTTAACTAAATCATGCATATTATGTTTTGTTATGTAGTACTTCGATGAATACAAATGTGCAGATTACACGAAACTTCAGTTGGAAGAAATCAAAGAGTAATTGTGTCAATATTTTATTGAGCAGAGAATCATATAAGGTATGAATACATTATTATGTGAAAAGTGTTATGAATACGTTACATGTGTACATGGATTACCATATTGACCGTGTTATTATGTTCAAACCTCGCAGGACCAGGACCTTAATACATAATTGACCGTGTTTCTTTCATACATTAGGACTGGTTTAGTTGTTGTTAGGGTTGATTTTGTAAGACTGATTTTGAGTTACAATACTGATAACAATGGTTTTTATATATTTTGAGGTACAAAAATGGTGTATATATATTTTGGATTACAATGGTATACAATGCATTACCGCGGTTTATGAATTACAGGTTATGGTAACTGGTTTATATAAATAATATGCTGCAAACAATGCAAGTATATGAATTATATAAATTATACCTCTAAAAAAAACACCCTATGAAAGCGCTTTTTCAAGAAAAACGCTGCCTTAGGTAACCTATGAAAGCGCTTTTTCACAAAACGCGTTGTCTAAGATAAACATATGACAGCGCTTTTCCAGGCAAAAGCGCTGCTAAAAGACCACCTATAAAAGCGATTTTCCAGGAGAAAAAAACGTTGTTAAAAGCCTATCTAAGACAGCACTTTTCCAGAAAAAAGCGCTGCTAAAAGAAAATTTATGAGAGCGCTTTTCCAGAAAAAAACGCTGCCTTAGGTAGACCTATGAAAGCGCTTCTTCATAAAAAACGTTGTATTAGATAGACCTACGAAAGCGCTTTTCATTAAACAAAAAACGCTGCTAAAACCTATAGCAGCGCCACCTACGAAAGCGCTTTTAAAGGCCAAAAAAAGCGCTTTCGTAAGTCTTTTTTAGCGTAGTGAATTACAACAATCATTTTTTCAATCATTTGTAGCAGCTTTTATCATTCATCATTTTCTCTCTTCTTCCTCAATTTCATCACCTTGCACCAACAAATATGGCCAAACCGACAACTACAAGCCATCCATAGAAATCATTTTGATTTGTAGTGGTGGCAGAAGATTGGTTCAAAAATGAGACCGATAAGATTATCAGCGATGCTATTATTTCTTGTAGGCTATATAAGACCAATTTTTTCCGCCCGGCATGATCAATAAGGTAAATGCCAAGAACGGTTCCAGCAGCATTCAAGCCAGCAACTATGAGAGAGAGTTGATAGTTGCCTTTTTTTCTTGCATATGTGTCATTAATCCAACCACCTATTGCTGCTCCAAGAATTGCACCTGCCACTGCCATGCTGACAATTGTTTCCTGAAGAAAATGACTTTGTCTGACGGCAGGAAAATCATCTTTAATATACAGAAGAGCTCCTGATATGACACCTAATTGATGGTGGTGTTGAAAGTTTAGTTACAGCATTCAGTTCAAATCATGAATTATAGATAGATAAAAAAGAGAAAGAAAAAACGTTCGTAGCAGTGTCGTAGCCGTAAACCAATCCACCAATGCTAGCTACATAAGTGAGTCCTAAAATGTAAGGGTTCTTGAACATAGAAACTTTTCTTTCAGGGCGTATGTCCAAATAGCCGGAGCTTCCAGGAATTGTCGGTATATTCATCGCAAGTAACTAACAACTCATTGCCTAATCATTAAACAAAAATATCAACGATGGCACAAAACTGGTTCAAGACTTTATGCAAGGCTTGCATAGGTTGGAGTAAATGCGACAACAACTAATGTGGATAATATTTAAGTGTATCATATTAATTGTATACACTAATATTTAAATGCCATGTGGATGGCAAGTAATCTAAGTGATGTTTCTTAAATATTTTTTACACCTATCAGCCAGGTGTAAATAACGGCCGAGTCGAGGAACTACTTTTGTAATTTCGGTCAGTATAAATGATAGGGCGCAAATAACAGTCATGTCAATTAATTATAACATTGCACAATAAAATAATTTATATGTTATATAATATATAACAATTTAAAGTAGTATTATTTTTGTCATTATGAGATAATTAAAATATAAATATAATAATAAAAATATGCGAGGAATGAATAGAGAAACGCGTAAAGAGATACGAGAAACTAATTTATATATATAATTGAGTTGACTCATGAATCTAACAACTCAAAGTATATATATTTTTTAAGTTCAATTCATTTAGTTAACGGATTTAATTATTTACTTGTATTCAACTTATTTGGTTCATGAGTCAAATTCAACAATTAATTTATCGAATCGAATTTTTAATAATATTCGAGTTTGTTTGGTTCATTGTCAATTATATATATTATTAAACAATGTTCATGACAATTTAGTTATATTAAATTCACATCATAAGAAACTACTAATATATTTCAAAGAGTTTGCTAAAAAAATATTGTTTACTTCAATAGTCACCTCATGGTATCCAAAATTTCTTAGTGGTTTAATTTGTTAGTAGTAATATGAATAATTTGTTAACGATTCATGATAATTCATATGAGGACAATTATAAAATGGTGTGTTTGGATTTGACATGAATGAATAATACTCTTGTGACATGTAAGAAGAAATTTGATAATACGATAGATAACTACTTTAATTACCTTCTAATGGTGCAACACAACCAAATTCACCAAATGATTGTACTACACTTGACAAGAAAGAATCATCCACGCCTAGCTCGATCTCTACTACTACTACTACTACTAGTCATATCATCATACGAGACTTGTTTCTTTCTTCGAGGTAGTAGATTTTGATCACACCAATTATATTCTTCTTCTTGAAAAACCCTTAACTCATTCTTGACAGTATTCTTAATTAACATCACCACCATTGTTGGTTACCACTGCTACTTCCCCAATTCTGCAAATTTACTATCAAAATAACAATCTTCACAAGAAAATACCTTGTGGGAGGTACAAGCAATATGAACAAGAATATTATGCTTGTCACACCAAACTTGTTGATGATGTGGTTGTCTATTATCCAATTTACAACAGTATGATGGAATGGCGGAGACAAAATTAACGCATTGGTAATCATGTGTGATAGGATGTTGAGACTTGGTACCTAACATTGTGCATTATGTTTTCTGAATATGAGTAACACACATATTTTTGAATTTGATGGCTTACCAATATATATATATATAACTTTTCATGTCTTTGATGTGTGTAGTGAAAGTCACAATATTGTTTGCTCTATTAGATTCACCTTCCTTATCATTAGTGAGATTGTAGAATTTTCTTTGGATCCTTGAAAAACTAGAGCATTCATCTAGAATATATCCAAAATCTTTGCATTTAAAAACATTGGATCCAATTTAGATTTTCACCACCCATTCCTTTACGCAGAAAGTTACACCTCTTGAAATTGTGTTGCTGATTGTCTTAAATATTTGTATATACATTGTTACCAGATCTCATATATAGTTTTCTCACGACTTTACTAAAGATCATAAGAAGCCTGAGATTTTCTTCAATATCATAATCTACTTGGTCTTCATAATTGTCTTCAACTCTAATCTTCGGAGGATTCTTAATACCATAAAGAATCTTTGGTCGATGAAATGCTCCTCCTTTTTTGAAATTATCCAACTTGAATGGAATAAGAACCATGGAACACACCCAAGTAGAACAAGGTTTCGGCTCTGATACCAGTTGTAATTATATTCTTAGGAGGACAGATGTATGACACAATGTGTACGATAAGATAAACATGTAACAGAAAAAATAAAGGCAGAATAAAAATAACACATGAATTGTTAACACAATTTGGTGCAATATCACCTATGTATGAGGGGAATTTAACCCAATAAAAGAAATACACTCTCAATAGTTAAAGTATAAATAGTCTTATATGCACAAACTTTGTTCAATGCCTCTCTTCCTAATACTACCAGTGAATTTCTATTCAGGAATCCCTATAGAACGACTTCACTCTCAATAGTCAGAAGGACAAATGGGCTTACTCTGAACTCTCCCAATTCAAGGCTACTTTTATAATATTACCCGTTAATATTCGTTCAGGCTCCCCCTGAATAAGAGATCCCTCTCACTTTCACTCAAACACTCTTTATGTGTTTGGACAATTACAATATGATTGAAAAGACGGAACAACTAAGCACACACAAATACATTGTTCTGAAGCTTATATAATTAATATATAGGAATAGAGTATTACAACAAAATCTCAAAGACAAGACTCAACTAAAACTCTCTTATATAGTATATTTCTTCTCTAAAGTTCTGAGTCTTCACAAAGGAGATAAACTCCTTATAAAGCCACACAAATCCAGCTCCAAAAGCCCGTAAGGGTTTAGGTCATGCATTCAGATGGACTTCTAAAAAAACACATAAGATTAATCTTAAATGATGATGATTTTCAATCTTGATTGATCACCTTGAATAAATCTCAATCTCTTAATTATTCTGGTTGTATTTGATTCAGATCACATCCTTCAAAAACACATATAATCAATCAAATCTTTATTAGAAAGATTGAGATCCTTGATTGATACAAATTAAGCATTCCACATGCAATTTGCTAAAATAAGATATTTTCCAAATCCAAACTCAATCTAGCACACTTATATCTATGATATAATAGAAAAAGAAACAAATCATAAAAGGATAAGATATACTTCAATTTATCTTACTCTCCAAGTAACTAACCCGAGATAGATTTCTCACAGATCGTTGAACATTTGGCTTGACATTTGTCCACATATCCAAATTTTGAATCTTTAACAAATAAAATATGTATTTGATATAAACCACAATTCCAAATTCTCAAGGAATAGATTAGAATAAATCTCTTGCCAAAAACTGAATCGCACTTTAAATCATGTTTAATAGAGATTTGGGATTTTCTCATTAAATACAAATCCAAATATTTTAATTAAAACATATCTAATTCAATTTATTCATGGAATGAATTTTCAATCAATATCTTTTCATATCTAATTTCAGTCATATTCCTTTAAGTCATATTCAAATAAATCTTTTCTTCAAAGCAAATCCATTATAATCAAATCTTCTTATTTGAATAAAATATTTTTCAAATTGATTTGGACTAACAAGTTTCTTCCAAAAGCAATTGTAACACCCCGTATAATATACATCTAGAAAATACATTATACGAAATATTAATTGATACCGATACAACACAAGTGCCTAATGGCATCATTATATACATGCCCATAAGAAAATAAAATACAATATATGGCACATCACATACAATAGTGACTAAACAAAACTGAGATATACGTGCAATACACACATTGCACATAATCCACAACGGAAGATCATGATAACAAAGTCTTCAAAACATCATCAAACAAACTTGTCATTTCCTTTAACTTGTAGTTATACACTTGAAAAACAACAATAATATTGGGATGAAATAATAATCTTAGTGATTTCCCCTATCTTATAGATCCAATCGGCTCTAAAGGAATCTTTTATCGATTGCTAACTTAGGCCATTCAAAAATGTCCTATTTATGTACACTTACATAATAGAACGTGGACTTAAGCATATAAGGGAGTGTATGCTTCATATGGAAACACAAACATGAGTTCATATAACTCAAAGAATCACTATTCGGGAATGCAACTATAAAATAAGGGTGGCTAGCCCAAAATCGATTAGAAGGATCTAATCAATCATCCTCCAGATATGGTTGATGGAAAAACTAGACCTCCACCGCACGAAATATACTACCTACCATATATGGTCAATGGATACCATACATCCACTACATGGATTCTCCCTCCATCAGAAATTTTCAATGGGACCTAGACCTCTACTATGTAGAACGCATCATCTACCAGATATGGTCAATAGATACCTGAAATCTAATGTATGGATTTCACCATCAGATATTGTCAATGGGACCAAGGCCTCCAATGCGTAGAATACACTCTCTGTCAAATACGATTAACGGACACCATACCTCCACTGTATGGGTTACACTCGCGCATCATATATGGTCAATGGATACCATACTTCCACTAAAAGGAAAGCGCCAAGCCTTTTCCACGAGATATGGTCAATGGATACAGGACATCCACTATATGGATGTCATGATCCAATAGATATTGTCAATGGAGTCCAGACCTTCATAATGTGGAATACACTTAACAAAGTTACGATCATCTGTCTCAATGATTCTCTTTTTCCAGTTACTACTTGTCATACCCCAAAATTTTCCCTCCTAATTATGTTATTATTTGACTTATATTTCTCATTCATTTGCATACATCTTAACCAATTCACCATCCATTGGGTAATCATACATTCATTGAATCAATAATCATGGCATTTGATCGGTGGACAAGGTATGATCAAATGTTTCATTGGTTTAAGGTTTCACTACTTATGAGGGTTTGTTTTTCATCCATAGTTCCCTTTTGACCATGGATTAGGGTTTGCATCAGATGCATGTGATCCTTAGCTAAAAAGGGAATTTGTGAACTCCTGTGTCTCAGTGCCATGGCATACAAAGTCATGTCTTGGAGGATTCCATACGTCGACTCATTCAGACGAAAAACACAAAGATACATCATCCCCAGGCGCACAAAAGAGCTCTACTATATCTCGACGAGACGGAACAGAAGACCTTGCCAACGATAAGACTTCAAATAAATGATCTGCACCTAGCTTAGACCAGGCTCATAGTCGGGCCCAGCATCTTCCCAAAGCCCAAGACCATCCCGAAAGACTCTCGCTTTGGACCACTTCTCCCACTAGACGGGACATCCTTGAAGCCAAAAAGGCTTTGAAAACACTTTTGAGATTTCAATCTCAGTTTAGGAAGGTACCTTAGCCTTCATGCCCTCGATCAAACTATCAACTGACCGACTGGATGGACTAACAGAAAAAGAGTAGCCTACGCTGGCTGGACCGCTGGACATACCTACATACGGACTGCAGACAGACAGATACGAATTCTGCTATTACACATGACCTGAGGAAGGAAGAAAGGAAACTAAGTCCTTAAAGGCTGAGCGGCTGATAGGATTGACTCGTGAACTGGATGAGACCATTCACTCACGGAAGACTTGCTAGATATCGCTCCTTCCAAGTGAGCCTCTTTCATAGGAATTCCCCCCATCAGATCAGGGGGTTCCTATAGGGGCCAGGTACACTCTACCATCAAATGAGACAGAAATGAATGCAAGACTTCGAAAGCTTGCAAGGCTTGAAGCTCAGAAATGGATAATTTTAGATCCGTTGAATTCAGACCATAAAGCGTGAAAGTCTTTTTCCTCCCACTTGAATAGAAGAATGAAGGGAGGAAGTCAATTGCCCCTTCTCCGACTAACCGATAGGGAAATCCTTACACAAGCCCAAAAGCATGAACTCGATCTTCAGCCCTTACCACGATTCTCTCAAAGGAAGGAGATGAATCTGACTAAGTCAGGGGCCGCGGAGGGACTTAGTGTGAGTCACTTCACTCGGGAAAGAACAAAGAAAAGGCAATCAATTGTTTAAGCTGTCAATAAATTCTTTAAATAAGTCATTTTACTGCGGAAAAGCGGTCCGCTCGAGGTTATCTTCTTCCAGGTCCGGGACCATCCCATAGTGTCTTTGCCCAAGATCGATCCCTCACAGAAGACTTTAAGGAAGGAATGGACCACTCGCAAGACTCAAAAGATAGTAACGAAAGCCAGGAAGCACATTAGGACTTTACGGAAAAAGAGACATTCTATAGAGGAAAAGGCACTTGCCTCTTAGCCGATTGAACAGAATCCACTACTTCGACTGCTCGACGGGCTGCTGGAAGGGCCGATACGATTATCCTCCAAATGGGCGGCCTACACCTCAATAAAAAGCAATGCGAAAAGCAAGAAAAAGGCTGGGTTTCGTAGCTCCGTTTGCCAGGCTCATCAACTGAGATTCCCAATTGCCGGTATCATTGAGAACTTGTGATTCCGGTCAAGTCAACTACTTGAATTCAGCAGCTAGCCGGGTGAGAAGTAGGACAAAGATCTCAGTCAGAATCAGAGAATTTCTCACTTGGCTAGTGAATTCAAGCTCTTTTTCTTTTGGATCGGATTCAGCCCCAGACCTTGGTACGCTGAGGTTAAGCTTTTCCCGGGTTTCCTCTTAAAGCGGCGCAGCTCCCAAGGTGCATATTCTCATATAGAAACAAGCGAAGCGTAGCGAATCACATAGATAAGCCCCTACCTGCCAGCATCAACTCATATACCACGTGGAATGATAACCGAAGGGCTCAAGCAAAGGCCAATGGTGATAGATATAGATCCGGAACCCCAAGCATGGACACTTAGACATAATGGAAAGCTTGTTAGGAAAGTTAAACTGGAATAGAAGGCCGAAAAGACAAAAAGAAGGGACTTTCACATCGCCCCCGACACACCCACGAAAGGAACTTAAAGAAAGCAAAGAAGATTTCCACGCTCAGAACGAATGCAAGATCCACGGGACTCGATACAGCCGGGGACATCGGAAGTAGGGACCAGCGCAGAGTCGGGATCCCTTTGGTATAATCAACAAAGAGGAAATAATAGTAGGGAATCTCTATCTCATAAGATAGTAGTCGGAAAACTCATTATTGCCTGTCTTACAGTGTGTCTCTTGAGCAGTCTTTCCTACGCCACCGTCAGCGGTACTGAGCTAAGTCAACTATTTTGATAAGGGTAGATTCAAGAAAATGAAATAAGACAACTGCTACTAAGAATCTAGTTTTCTAAACAGACAAAGATCCTTAGATTAGATTCCAGACCGAGGTAGCAAAGGCTACGCTTTGAGGGCAATCGAGACTTGCAAGCACAAGACGGCTGTGATTGGGTGATCAGCTCTGTACAGGGCAGAGGATCCCGTGAAGAGAGACACGCTACACTAGACCGATAGTGGCTACATACCATACGGATAAGACTTCTCTCATACAATGGCTGTTCCAAAGAAGGAGAAGGATCGTATAGAAGAGCTGGTGGATCCCCAACTCTTGGGGAAAGTAGCCCAGCCTTCTACCATTATAGGAGAGGGATGTAACTTCCGGTAATAAATAGCTAGTTCTGATTCACGTGTACCAGCCCTTCCTTATGCGTCCTTATACTATTATTCCTCCCCCTCATAGATTTACTGTTCTGTGCGAAGCTTGCAAAACCTATTCAGGGCATTTAGATTACGGTTGAGAAATTTCATAAGAGAAGAAAGCGTAGAAAGGCAATCCGCAGTCAATGAAACTGACTATTGACTATTTAAGTAAGACCAAGACCTGACATACGGAATACAGAATAGAAGGTTCATCCATGCTTTTAACAATCTCTACTGTTACTGGTTAGACCGACTTGCTGGCTTCTTTCATTCCTTCCCCCATTCCGTGTCTCCAACCCGCCATAGGGAACTTAGATGATTCATCCTAGCTTAATTAGGGCTTTCGCCCTTCAAGGTCTTAGGAATCGATTGAATCATCCCTGTACTTCTACTCGATAGAGTGATCGAATCGGACGCTGTGCCATTGATTGAATTTCAATAGGCTCTTAGATGGGCTTGTTGAGATAGGTCAGAATGAAGCAACCCCAGTGGAAGGAATATGCCCATAGGTGGATTAGAGAATAAGTCAATAAGTAAGATCGAAAGGGCAGGGAGATCTCTGGGGTCAAGACAAGGAGCCTAGCTAGGTCCCTAGTCACTAATCCGAATCTGCGGAAGAGGAAGAGGCACCCAACATATAAGAATCGGACTAAGAAAAGATGGATCCGTTTAAATGGTTGATGCTTTACAGGTCCCCCGCCTTCTCCTTGATCAAATAGTGTAAGGATAAATAAAACCCTATTATTTCCCTTTCTTTCTTTTGAAGTTATTTCTTAGGTTTATTCCTGTAATTAAAAGAATTTTAAGACTAGTTAGAGCATAAGGATTAGCAGAATCGTCAAAAAAAATTGTTATATGATATAAAGAAGAGGAAAAATTCCAATACTTCTATATAGTACGAAGCACCCGTAGCACTTGCTAAGAGTTACCTAATTGATTGAATACCAGTAAATTTACCACAAACAATAGTATACTAATTTCCGCAACACAATTTAATTGCTTTGGATGCGGCTCCTTTAACTGCTAATCTTTTTCCACCCGAAGGCTAGTTAAACATATGTCGCAAAGAGTAGTATCTGAATCTGTATCTGATGAGGATACTGCAGCAGCGGCGGAGGCAGTGGTAGTCTTAAGGAATTCCCTCCTCGAGATAGTCGATATAGAGAATTGTCCGCCTAAAAGAAAGAATCGCGAGTTTACTCGGAGCAGGCTTCCAAAAAGCCTTACAGTAAAGGTAAGTCATCCTATTCTTATAATTAGCCTGAAGAGTAGCTAAGACGCCCCCTTCCCATTCATTTTACCTTGGGATGGTCAAATTCATCTTTCTCCTATTTTAAAGCACTTTTATCTTATCTGACACTCGCAACTAACTACTCCCCTGTACATATAGGGAAGACCACTACTGAGACTGGAACTCAAAGGCCTCCAACGGTAACTTCAACTCCAGGTAAGGCGGAAGCACTTTTAGGGCTTAGGACGAGAAAGACATATTTTACACTAGCTTTTGACCTAGAACCAGCTGACTTAACAGATGGATTGGCCTTGCCTACTTAAATGCCAATGGATAGGGGGCCTGGACCAACATCGAAAGAAAGTGCAACTTCTGGAACAGCTCCCTTAAAGAAAAGAAAGAAGAAATGGAAAGGAGTATTCCACGTGCATAATCCTTCACTTTTATTAAAAGAAGGTAATCAAAAAAGAAAGAAGAAAAATTGGGCCATGTTTCCCGAGGGAGGCCGCCTTCTCTCAGGCCAGCAGTCTTCTACTTCTAGTCGACTGCTCTATGACGGGCTTCCCTGTATCCTGGGCTCTGCTCGCTCGTCTACGCTCCGACCCAGCAAGTAAGAATTGAAAATCTTTCCTTCTCCCTTACGGTCGATAACTACGTACCTTGCCTGCATTAAGATTTAAAACTTGTCGTCAAAAAGGCAATCAATCAGAATCAAGAAAAAAAATGGAAATAGTGAATCAAGCAAGATCTAGATGGATCCCTATCTTTATCTCTATCCACGGAGATACCTATCTATATGGATAGAAATCTATCTATGAATCGATCTAGACTATCCTCTATCCGGATAGATATGTCCCTATGAGCGACTACGCTGATCTTTATATGTTTTGGCCACGTCCGTTTCCGCTCCGAAGAGGAAGGTTTGGATCTTTCAATCTTATGTCGTGAGGGATGTGACCTATGTTAGGTCCATAAAATACCACCGCTTTTGGTGTTCTATGATTAACCTCCGAATAATTAGTAGGTAGTTCGATCCTTTTTATTCTTCTCTTCATAGTAAACTGATGGGGGGATGAGGAGCAATAGGTCGAATTACTATATAAAGAAGAGTTGTAAACTATAGGACTTCTTGTTCGAGTAGGAAGATATCGGTTTTTCTCGTTTCTTCTCTTCGATAAGAATAGGGATTTGAAATGATACAAATTCCTCTTCATTCTGTTGTGCTCAGCGAAGGAACTGCCTAAGCATACTTTTTCGGATCCAAACTTCTTTGTTCTTTCAAAGTATTCTTCTTGCATATAATAACGCAACTGTTGTTGCAAAAACCGGGATTTTAGTAGTAGGCGGCATCCCCGCTTAGTTTTGAGTAGGTGGAACCATTCTGTTTTGGTTCTTCTCCACATTCTTACCGGGTGATCCAGGAATTTTCCTATGATTTTATCAACTGATATTTCGATATAGAAAGATCTCCTTATTTCTTCACCGCGGATTCTCGCGTCATTTTCTTGAAAAGATATTAGATCACCGTGGGAAACTTTCAAACGAGTAATGCTTACCATTCGATTATTCACACAAACCCTTCGATGACTTATCGGCTGCCTTGCTTGAGGAATAGTTTCACGAAAATGGAGACGAACCGGAATAACGTCCGATCTTGTTTCTGGATTGAGTAGAAAAGGGATATATGAAGTTCGTTCTGTTCCTCTGTGCATCTCTGTGATGGGTAAATCCCCATGAAAAAGGGGCAACTTTCGTGTAGTTTGTGATTGGATGTAACTGTTAAGATTTTCTCTCGGATAAATCTTTCTCTTAATAGATCTCTTCTTGTTCCTCAATCTTCGGAGAATGCGGCGTTGTATTATTGTAAGTTCTCTGTTCCGAACATTTCCTGAAAGTAGACGACAAGTTTTAAATCGCATATCCCGTCTTTATCTTTCTTTCCTTGGGGGAATGCCGCAACAAAAGGGGCTATGGGAGTAGAACAAAATTCTGCCAAAACCCCCGACAAAAACAAGATGGAAACTGGCATACCAGTCTCATTTACCTCTCTTTCTTCATTCAATATCTGTCTAGCCTGCTAACGACGCCCTTTCTTATCTACGCTATTTACCCTTCATTACTTCCCCAGCTTAGAGTGAAGTTCCTTGCTTTCAGTCTATTGGGCCTAGAGGACTGGGAATTGGCAATAACAAGAATCGGTCCTTTAGTGATAGTGAAAGCTCAATCCCAACTGTCGAATCAAAAGCCTAAACCGTCTAAGGTATGAAGTTACTTTCCAAAGGTCAATCCCTTTCCTGATGCCTGCGTAGAAGTGCAGTTGCTATTAAGGAAGATGTGCCATTAGTTAGAAAAGCAAATTTAACATTCATTCACTTTCGAATAAGCACTCAGACCTAAAAAGAAATTCCATTTCAAAAAGAAGATCTCTCTGTCCCCCGAGCGAGCTCCATAAGAAGCCACTTTCGTGCTACTAGCTTACTAAGCTTCTTTCCCTCTATCTCTACGAAAAGTACAAGTAACTCCAGACGCTTTCTCATTAGCTCATTGGATTCGTCTTATATAAGCATTTCGGATTGGAAACTAATCGTCTGGTTGGCCCCGAACGGAAAGGGAGAGGCTTTTATCTTTCTAGAGGATTTCGTAACAAAGGGCTCTTGAGGTGCTAGCCGCCCTCTCGGGCTACACTTATACAGCCAGGCCAAACATACTGTGATTCGCCTAGCTGGGTGATACCTTTTGGAATAGATCCCACCCAGACTTACTATAAACTTATTTCCTTTAATTTAAGGGGTGAGCTAGCCTGTCATCCACCGCCCCAACTGTGATGGTCCCCTTCGGCTAGTTCTCTTGAGTGGCTCTCTATTCCGTCTCTATCATAGTGATAGAAGAAGCAATTGATCTCTTTCGTTGTCAACGAGCTAAGAAGATCTGAGCTCAGAGACGATTCTCTTTCTTGAAAATTACCTTTTCTCCTGGTGGTGAGCTCCTTCTCTTCTTTTACTTTTACATAGATTGCCCATATGCGTAGGTGCTCCTCTCCTCCTTCGCGAAGTGTCTAAATTACTTTTCCTATCTCTTTTCTATAGGGACTGACTGATGGAAGGGAGAGTCAATTAACAACCTATCTACGGGAAAGCCTGTTTTCATGGCACAGAGAATCTCTTCCTTTCTCTGAAAAACTTGTATTACTCTGCAAGTTAAATAAGATCCGGCATAAATGTGTTCCAGAGTCTTTAGGTGTGGTATCATATGTATCCCGCTCGTTTAGTTTTTAGTTAAAGTCTTAAGTATCCATACCACCTTCGCTCGAGAGTGACGATGTTTAGTGTTAAGTAATTAGTAAGTAAGCGGTTCTACTTGATCTCATGAACTATAAAAAGTTTAGCCCAGTCTAGTCCAATCTCATATCCGGAGTTCCTAGCCTTTGATAACTAGGTTTTTCTCTTTCATTGGTTCTGGAACCTTCGACTTGTGGTTCCACTCTTACTCTTGCAAAAGTTGGAGAATCCACTGCTAGGGGAATGGGATGGATGTCACTTGCAAGTCTTCAGAAAGGGGCGGTCCTGACCTATCAGGAAAGGGGAAAGCAACGAGAATCTTTCTACCTTCACGGGTTAACCTGGAAATACAGAAACTAGCATTTCCCTTCACTCATGCGGGCGAAGAGTCAATAGAAATAGAATAGAATAGGAATCCCCAGAGACTATATCCATAAATAAAACCCACCATTGAATCAACTGGTATGGAATCAGTATCTGATAACATTCCCTTTCACTTCATCGGATGATCTTTTTATATAAAGAAGTTAAAGACCCAGGTCAACATATGGTATTAGTCCTTAGAATAAATTAAAAGGTTGTGCTAAAAAGTCCCGTCTGTATTGTCCTACGAGTAAGCTCTTTAAGGCCTTTGGGAAGAAAGCTAGAATGATTTTATCTTCTTTCATGTGAATCACATTAGCTTAGCATTAGCTAGAGTTTATATAACCTCCAGGTCCCAGTGTGGTTAAGCTTATAGCTCTTGTCGCTAGCTCTTATGAAGCTGTGAATGGTCTCGTTATCTTATTAGAAGTTTGAAGAGATAGGCTGCTTTCCTTGGCACGAACGGGGGAAGAAGAAGTTGTTCCAGCTACAGGTGTCTTGGATTCGGCTGGTGGTCTCGTAACTAAATAAGTAGCAGATCCCGTCTCCTTAAATTAAGGAATTTCTATAGATTCATCCCCTAGTTTTGTACCCAAGTCAGTAGACTCTCCTTTCTTGCTTTCCTTCACCGTCATTGACATTGAACTGATATTATGGCGAAGAAAAGAACCACGGTAACCGAAGGCTGACTTACTAATTGGGGGCAAGCTACGGATGAGCTAAGCTAATGGCTGCCCTTTTCTTGCTCCCTAGGAAAGAAGTAAAAGACTGCTAAAGGGAAGCGAAAGATTAAAAATTCAATGTTGTATGCACACGTGGCAGCATTAATAGTGAGAACTCATAGAAGCAATCCAAAAAAAAGGATTACCAACATATGTGACCTAGTAGTTGCAGCAGGAAGCCATAAAAGAGGCAATCCCATATCTCTGGGAAAAAGGTAAGACCGGATACCGGTCACAGGGACAGGGGAGGGAGTGAACCCAGGTTTTTTATTCCGCTATCACAGTGAAGCAGATGAAAGAAAGTCTTTCCCCGAAGCAATCATGTTCCGGCTTTTAGTGATAGGGCGGGCTTCCGAGCGAACAGGAAAGGAGCAAATCCAGCTTCCTTCGTAGCCGTAAGTAGTCGGATGATGATAAAATAATCGATTTCTTTGTGTTAAGCAAATGAGTGGAACACAATAGGAATCCTATTTTAACAGAGTCCAACACTTCACAATGAAAGAAGAATTGAGCAACGCAACGAAGTCCAACGATAGAGAGCGGACAGATGAGCTAGATGCCGATAAGGTGACGGAGGGTTTTTTTCCTCCCTCTAGGATGCTTGGTTGGAGTTGGGAGTTCGGAAAGAGTGACTCGCATTAGACTTTCCATTTTCATCCCCTTCAAATCAGTGCCAAAATCTATCCTGCTCCCTCTCAGCTGAACCCGACTCAACTGTGCCAAAAAAGACCTCCTCATCCCTCCATGTCTTCAATATCAGTTACCACAAACTGTTCCATAATAAAGTAAGTATCCCGTTCTGCACTGCTATCTTCAGCTCACCAACTGTAGCATACGGTTCCACCATTATAAACACGCCGGGTGTCAATTCCCTCGTCAACTCATTTTCTAACTCCGCATCACTCTTAAAATGAATCTTAAAAGTAGATGTAGTGGATAAGCTCTCCGTGTTGGGGTAGGATTGGATCCTTTAGGAGAGAGACATAAGGTATTAAGAAATGGAAGAAGGTCTTTGACGATCCAGTATTAGCTAGCGGACTCATACCTTGATGACTCCCTAGTGGCCAGGGAAGCGTTAGCTTCACCCTTGGAACGTATCATCTACTCTCTAACGCTCTCTCTTCGGAAAAGCAGCTTCACTCCGCTCTTATCTCTAGCGAGAGAGCATCTCTCTCTGTCAGGCGATTTCCTAAGGGGAGAATCTAGGTTTCAGAGTTCATCAGTCCAAAGAAAGACTCCTGCGCCATCCATTCTTCCAGTATGAACCTGTTTCATAGCATACATCGTAGAAGACGGAACTCCTTGATTACCTTCTCAACAACCCTTCTTCTCTGGTGGAGTGACCAGTTGACTTTCCTTATCGACTTTCATCAGCGCACTAGCTTATTGCTAGACTTTGACCCTCGAACTAGCTGCTTTGACTTGCTATCTAAGAGACTAGCCTGGAGAGATAGGAAAGACGCTCTGCTCTAAAGGGATACTCAAAAAAAGGCAAGTCGATGCCCGGATTGACAACTTGATGTCGCAAGATCGGTTGTTAAAAGACTAAAGCCCACCTTCAAGCTAAAAGTCTAGTCGTATTTATTACTTATTCTTTCTTCTTCCGCCATACCCAAGAGTCATTCACTCCCTAAAGAGATTTGAGAAGAGTCACTAAGATAAGAGTTGTTATAGGATTTAACGAAAATAGGTTTATAGTAAGTGTGCCGCTAATTGGCATATCTCTTTGTTGTAGAGACCTTCCTTGCCCTGCTTAGGGCTATGTGATAGCACCCAAAGGGACCTATTCTATTTGAACAAGACCACATAAACTATAGTCATACGGTCAACCGAACCAAAGCCAAAGCTAAATCCTCTGCCCTTCGCTCCTTCCCCGGCTCCACTCCAGAGCAATGCCACGACCCGGTCGAGAGCCTTCCATGCGGATTCCTTCAAAGAGAAAGAGAGTGTGTATTCCCGGCATCAATGCAAAAACTTCCCGGTCCGGGAACAAGAGCAATTATTGGTCCCACCAAACCATGCCATGAACAGTACAACAAGAGCAGGGGATATTGAAACTAAGACTCATTCCGTCTATTGCTCTACCTTCCTCCTACAGATTTAATTGCATCGTTTATTCCTATTCCGGCAAAACTAGCTGCTGACTCAACCTCCCCTCGGGTCTACGCCCTCGATGTTTTAACATCGGCGATTGAAAGAGAGTAGGAGCGCATTCTCTCCATCTCAGTTGGAAAGTCTATCGCTCTCAGCAGCAGTTCCTTGGTCATACCCTCGGTGATGACTAGCAGTCCTTCCTGATTGAGTTCTCACCCTCTATTGATAGATCAAGAGTTCCGGCCCGGCTATGATTCCATCAACAAACCCGATTCGGTATAAAAGCTTAGCTTCTATTACAATAAAATATTTTTAAAAGAGCTATCCTAAAGCTTGACAGGTCTCCCCAACTCAGTTTTTCACTCGAAAACCGAAAGCATAAGGATGAGCCTTGGGCCCCCTTTCCCAAGAACAGAAGGAGCGTTTAGATACTGTACCTTTAGGTGCGTGCAGGAGCAAGGACGAAAGGAGAACAAGTCGCAGGAGAAGCGTTGAAGAAGCAGTAGTTTAAGCCATTGATCCTGCAGCTTAGCTTCTAAAAAAAAAGAAGAAGCACCAGCAGACAGAGGTAGATACAGAGCCATAGGCAAACCTTCATGATCGATAGCCTTTTATGAAAACGACCCTCGTGCTCGAGAGGCGGATCCAAAGGCAGTCGCTTACCTAGGAGCATACTTCGGTGTAGCATAGCGGCATACCCCTTTGACCTAGGTGGAAAAGAGATCTATTGAAACCCACCATAAGTCGGAGACAGCTGCGGATACTTATTTACCATAAGCAAAAGCGGCTACTGAGGCGAAGGCAAATAAGGTTCCGTTCCATGGAAGGAAAAAGAAATGGAAATAAAAATAATAAAAGGTCTGATCAAATCTTTTGCTTTCTTGTTGTCTTGAATTGTTATAGAACGGCTATTTATATAAGGTCTAGTTGGTAGGATGAAGTGGGATGTGAAGCCTTAGTGGATATAGCAAGTGTGCCGGGGATGCGGCTCGGGCGTAGTAGGTCTGGACGCCTAGCATGAAACAGCCTTCTCTGGTAGCGGCACTATACCTTAGTATAGTCTCTCTCTAGCTTCCAGTCTATATAAAAAAACTTAGTTAGCAGAGGTCAGTCTGTCTGGCGTTCCCTCGCGTAAAGGGCTACTTTGGCATCGGCTCTCTCTCGTTAGGTAATTACCGAGGCGAAAGCAGCTCTCTCGGAAGTTAGTTTCCCCGCCATCTTAGTGGGACTAGTCTAAGAAACTTTCACTTCAACTGCCTGACTCTAACAAGTAAGCAAGTAAACTACCAAGACTCGGATTTTTTTTTGTGGTAACGCCCTTCTAGAATTACGTTTAACGTCCCTTTATTACTTTCCCGATCAGCGCCTCGGGTCGGTAGCCGGGCTCCGGGACATTACTACCACGGCTACTATCGACCCGAGCCCAAAGAAGGAAAAGAACGGACTAAAGCGAGGAGTTCATTGGCCATACATAGTGAAGGGGGATGGGGGTCAACCTCTTTCATGACCCATGGCCCCAGTGTGTAACTTGGTTAGCATTTCTAGAACCAATTTAGTAGGGTTGGTTTTTCGATAGGGAAACAGGGGAGTTAGTTGGCTGTAGTTGAGACACGTTTTTCAGGTGGACGATATGGATTTCTTCGAGATGGTTAACCACTTTTTTCACCGTGAGAGGGAGGTCATTCAGAACCCGCAGGCTCCAGTCCAGAACCGGTGGAAGTTCCCCACGCCGATCCCCCTGAGGGACTTCGAAGTGCTATTCATTGATTCTTGAGCAAGTTCGGGAATATTGTGAGAAGGGGAAAGGGCGGCTTTCCGTTCACTTTCCGGAAATGGAATAAATCTATTCCAGTGTCGCAGAGAACATTATGTCTCGCGATCTGAAAATATCTGCGGAGATTTATATTGAAACCCTCCGCGGATGGGTGGAGGAGATAAAGGAGAACCCTAATCCCCTAAAATACCTCATTAGGGAACACCTGTAAGATGAGTCTGCCGCTTTCTTTCATAACAGAGCCGGCGGCTGGCATAGAAGTCTCTCGCACGCAAGGAGATGCATTTCTGGTACAGGTAGTACTGGACAAGCTCTTAGGGAATAATCTCTTTCTTATTTCTTCCTTTTTTCCCATGACGACTAGGAACGGGCAAATAAAAAATTTCACTTCGAATTTCGGACCTCAACATCCTGCTGCTCATGGTGTTTCACGATCAGTATTGGAAATGAACGGAGAAGTGGTGGAACGTGCGGAACCACATATTGGATCACTCCAGTGCGGCACGAAGCCGCTGACGCCGAGTCGGCTCCTATGCCGCTAGCTATGCCCTGCTTGGTCCCCCGGCACGGTGGAGGTCCCGTAGCGCGTCACGAGCACCGGGCTAAGGGGCGGTTGAGCAACTCAAGCGAACCGCCCTACCTTACTACAACATAAGGACAGAAGGGAGAAGGTTGTGAAGGTGGCCTCGTTATCCACACCTCCGGTCAGATGAATGGAGGACCGACCGACCCGGGTTTTAATGAGCGTTGGCGGGTCCTGGAGTGCCTGTCAAGGGCGCTAGCGCATACCCCGGGGTGATCATCACCACCTGCACCTCACATCTCGGCACAGCGGAACGTGTAACCCGCCTGCTGTCTCATTCAACTACATTTGTTCCTGTAATCCATAGCCTAACAGAACGCAGCAGCGAGGGACAACCCGCCCATACAGCCAGCGGGGAGGATGGCACTACTGGCAAAGATCGTCCGGCGAAAACGCCGCAGGCGCGAAGCGTGGTAGGCCTGTGCCGGGGGAGCATAGCATAGGTAGGAAAGGGAGCCAGGACGGTGGAAGAGCCTGGGGGGCCGGGTCATTTGACGGAAATGGAAGGCTTTTCCCCTATTAGAGAAGGCCCTCTGAAGTCAAGGGGAAGTGCATTAATTCTTGGAAAAAGAGGGAGCAAGCCTATCAAACAAAAAAAATTAATGAAAGTAAATTCAATGAATAGATAGAGTCAACGGTACGACAGACAGCGCAGCCTACACGCGAATTAGCTTCCGAGGTCGAGCAGTCTCAATTTCACTACAGGATTTGCGAATGAATGCTGGGCTGGGCCACCTCGAATGGCGTGAGCCGCATGCGGGGAGACCCGCACGTACGGTTTTTAGGGGGATCTGGTCGAAAGACCGGCCGGCGCCCACCCGACTAGAGGGACTGAGAAATTAATAGAGTACAAAACTTATCTTCAAGCTTTACCTTATTCTGATCGTTTAGAGGGCGATCGCGGAGTCACTGAATGGAGTCCTCCGTTTCTTTCGGAGGTGCTGACCCGCAGCGAGGCAGAGATGACTAAGTGACATATTGAATATGGCGACGACAACAGCATGTCGTAGAAGGAGATAACAGGTGGAGCCAACGATCCGCTAAGACTAACGTATCTACAACTCCATCCCCGAGCGGCAGTCAAACGGAGGCGTGAATGCAAGATGCCAGCGGAATGATCGGCCGGACAGAGGCTAGGGCTGCTTCCTTCCCACCGCGTCCTTCCTTGTGTGTCGGAGATATAAAGCGAGTGCACCGGAAAAGAACAGGAACTGGGTCGATCTATTCTATGGCGAAGCATCCGAAGCATAACTGCACACTCACACGATCTTTGCCGATAGATAGGAGCATTCGGTGGAACCGGTGAACTACACTTGCTTCTGGATAGATGTGTGGGACAGAGGGCTCGTGGTACCTGCTGCCCACCTTTCCTCCTCTGCTTTGAGAACCGTGTGAACAGAGAGTGGGCAGAAGGGAAGGAGGTCCTCATACGGAGTCGCACACTGACTTGAGCAGTGCGGAAGACTGGGGAATGGGTTGAGTAAACTCCCCAGGGGCCGGGAAAATAACAGACGAAGCTTTACTTAGATAGGGCTTTGATTGGTTTTTTTTTCTTAGTGATTGGAAAGGAGGGCGCCTGGGTATGTTACAAAAAGGGAAGGCAGAGGTAGTACTTCGAATGGCGAAACGAAGGGCTAAATAGCGCCAGTGATTCTCTGAGCCGGTCTGGATTTTCAACGCCTCGGGAAACTGGTCGAGATAGATGACAGCACCCTTTTCCTCTCTTCCTTACCGGGAGGGCAATCTTATCTTATGGCCTTCACCTCCCGCCCGGCCCGGAAATAGAACCCAGCCCCCCCCTCTGATCCATTCATTTCTGCAAGCAGGGGGGATCCTGAGCTAAGCCTCCCGTCTATTGCATAACCTAAAAAAGCTATAAGCAAAGTACCAAAGGTGCGCTCCGCCCGGTGACTCAGAAAGAAATGGGTTTGCGCTTTGAAGTGATGAGGTCGCAAAGAGGGAAGTAGGGCTCCTATTGAAAGGCTTTCCCTCCCTCAAAAGGCGACCAGCTTTCAATACTGTTACGTTACGCTGCCATTTTTCCAATATCATTGAATAGCATGGCCTGCCTGGGGCTAAGGTCACTCAAGTGGGAGAGCCGTGTTATGGGTGACCTTATTGCACGGTTCAGAGAGCACTTGTGTATGTGATGCAAGTGAACGTGTACGAAAAAGCTGTATCTAGGGTGAGTTCTTCGTTCCGTCGTCGACCCTATCTATGTTTCTACGATGGCCCAAGAACACGCTCATTCTTCAGCCGTAGAGAGACTTTTGAATTGCGAGGTACCATTACGAGCTCAATATATACGAGTGTTATTCCGTGAAATAACTCGAATTTCAAATCATTCACTTGCTTTAACTACTCATGCTATGGATGTGGGAGCATCAACTCCGTCCCTGTGGGCTTTTGAGGAGCGGGAGAAATTGTTGGAATTCTATGAAAGAGTCTCGGGAGCCAGGATGCATGCCAGTTTCATACGACCAGGTGGAGTGGCACAAGATCTGCCTCTTGGCTTATGTCGAGATATTGATTCCTTCACACAACAATTTGCTTCTCGTATCGACGAATTAGAAGAGATGTCAACCGGCAACCGTATCTGGAAACAACGATTAGTGGATATTGGTACTGTCACTGCACAGCAAGCAAAGGATTGGGGATTCAGTGGTGTAATGTTAAGAGGTCGTGCGACATGAAGACATTGATAGCAATATGGGGGGAGTTCCCATCAGGCAACAACGGTTCTGCCTGACCCTACTTAAGCATGCATATTATGTCAGTGAAGACTTGGTGTGAAGCCTTGGAGCTTACGTTAGAAGAGCAAAAGGCCCGGGGCTAGGGTGAGCTGAGGGGGGACAGCGTAAGTGAGCGAATGTGTGTAAGCCCAGTCAAACATGACTGTTCTAGGCGGGGCGGGCCACCCACCTTCGAATGGTGTTGGTCCTACGGACCGTGAATGGATTCGCCTCTGGCCTCGGGGCACGTCGGAACCGCATGAGTTCACCGGGGTGGAGCACAGTCCGCCAAAATCGGCATAGGTTAGGTGCTATTGATGGAACATGGTAAGCCTATCTTTCTCCATATGGAAGTGCTGCGGGCACATAGAGATGTGGGTAGAGGAAGTCTCAAAAAGCGAAGGCCGAGCTGTAGGTCACGTGACCTGCACCGAGTTGGTGGCTGACTGGGCTTTTTCCTTGATCAAAGCAGATAAGCTCGCCGCCTTCTTGTTATCAAAAAGTAGGTCGAATCGGGCGGGCGGAACGTCGAATGAAATAGGTAGCCGGGTTCTCTTTTTACAACCCTTTTGATATGATAGGCCCCCCCTATCCCTTATGTTTAGGAGCGGGATCCGCCCAAGAACGACCAGTCCTGTGGTGGTACGGAAGGCACGGACTCCGCGAACGTCCCGCGCCCCCAAGACTAATAAAGGAAATAAAGCCTCAACCAGAACCACATTCCTTTTGCGTGCGGATTTAGCTAAGTGTCTGACTCTATTGGTCATAGTTCCCTGCTGTTGCGGCCAGTGCTCGTTTGCGCGCAACCCAACAAACAAGGAAAGGATGCCTCTCGGGGCATCTGAGAATGATTCGAGCCGTATGAAGGGAAACTCTCACGTACAGTTTGTCTTTTTTGGGGGGGGGAGGAGCCCGACAGGGTCCCCCCACTGACTTGGCCCAGGCCTAAGTGAAAGTGAAGTGGTGGGCCTACCCATCCCAACCAGGGGTATGCTGGGATTCGCGAAGAGCAGCACCTTACGATGTTCATGACCAATCGGATCCTGACGTACCAGTAGGTACCAGAGGAGATCGCTATGATCGTTACTGTATCCGTATTGAAGAGATGCGACAAAGTCTGCGGATAATTTTCCCATGTCCTAATAAAATGCCTAGTGGCATGATCAAAGCCGATGATCGTAAGTTATGTCCTCCATCACGATGTCGAATGAAACTATCCATGGAATCGTGCGCCGTGTGAAACGTAGATCATCGCCGTTCTTAACCGAGACTCAGGTTAAGCTCCGTCTCGGAACCTAGTGGGGTTAGGAGTAAAGCATCCCGAGGTTGGCGCATCTCGTTGGGCGTGGAGAAGCATTGGGAATCTCAATTTCTTTCTTCGGAGCCGTTTCTTTTCCCGTCCCCCCGCCCCGGCATAGCGCTTCGCTTCCCGTTATTCGGAAGAATAAACTGACTTATCCCTTCTTCATTGATCTGGGGGAAAAGGAACCGTCTACCAGTTGGCAAGCTAGACATCAAGTAAGTGGCTTGATGAGGATAACTAAGCTGACACGCCGGAGTTGGCTGCTGGCACAACAGGGTGGTGCCTTACCGCACCGCAGGCGAACGCGCGGTAGCGTTCGTGGTGGTGCTTCAGGATTCCAATGTACTGCGTCCAAGATCAGAACGAGCTTGCCGGCGGACCACTGCCGTCCCATTCTTGAGTGAGCTGGAGCGCAGCCATCTTATCCACTGAACTAGCTAGAAGCTATCGCTTCGGGTCGAAGCACTAAAAGAAAAGGACCGGGAAACGCGGCGGCATAGGAACCACGGGACCCCCTACTAATAAAGGGAAAACGGAAGTGCGCGTTAGCGCACCAGCTGAAAAAGCCCATTCCCCTGACTCTCACTTCACCCCTCTCCAACCAGTCGAGTGGCATTAGCCCCTCTCCCAGCAAGAGGATGCGCGAACCTCCAAGTAAAGCGCGCTAGCGCGCTTGACCAAGGCTTTCTCTGATAGGGGCTCGCCGTTGCTTGTTTGGGTCGAGCGTCAACCTTAGCGCATCCGTTTTATTGCTCCTTAGCACAAGCACTAAGTAAGCCCGTGAAGGAAAGGCCTTTTCATACATCATAATAAGGTAAGCTTCATAGCTCCAACCTAGACAAGCACTCATGTTTCAGCTCCCGGATCTGCTTGGATTATCGTATAATAAGAGGAGCCGTCTTAGGAAATGACTGAACTGAAAAGACAGATGCCACCGCTGCGAGGGAGTCACTTGTCTTATCTTGCGGTGCACTCACTCCCGTTACGAGAATGAAATGACGCCCCAGCTCGACTCGAGACCAAGACTCCTTCCTTACAACTCGCACCAATAGCGGCCGGCACTGAGCGGCCGGAGATTTATTGAAAAGGCAGCCGCCCCTCCCCCCCCCCCCCTAGCCGCCTACCTACTCGTGCTCGTATCTCGATCGGAGGTTAAGAGTTTGGTCCGGCGGAAAAACATAAGTCGTCCGTATCAAGTGATACGTTAATTGCTCAGTAGTGCTTCGCCACTACCGTAGCTGGCGGAAATAGCTTAATGGTAGAGCATAGCCTTGCCAAGGCTGAGGTTGAGGGTTCAAGTCCCTCCTTCCGCTCTTGGCTTCGTCGTTTAGTGGTAACGAGTAGAGTAGGCATCGCCTCTCGATCCAATCCGTCTTTCCCAGGCCTCCCCAACACACTCTTGATACGAAAGAAACCTCCCGCCATAGAATAGAGAAGAAAGAGATCTAAAGTCTGGGTCCCCTCGATAACCCTTCCCTTGAACCTGAACTGGTCGAGAGAGATGAACCCGCACCACATTTGATAACCTTCGAACTTAAACCCCCAACTAGAGATGGAATTCCAGAACCTAAACAACTCAATGGAGAGCTCCGTGACCGGTTCAATTCAAGGGATGGTCCACCAATAATGGAAAGGCCATTCCCCTCCCTATCCGTTTCTTGATCCCTCATTCCACGAATTCGTTGTTACTGATTCATTCAAGGACTGAAAGCTTTTCGTTTTATGAAAAGGCATAGACTCCCCACTTCTTTGTCTTATTAGCGCAGGTCTTCGTCAATGATGAAAGCCGCTGAACTTCAGACTCGAGTTGAGAAAGAGGGCTAGGCCAAGGATAGGAGGGCTTTCAGGGACTGGGGAAGACGGGTGGATTATAGAGCTAGGGGCAGATCAGAGGTTTGTCCATTGGGATTGGGCATGGACGAGCCTCGACTGGGCCAGCATTGATGAAAAAAAAACTTATCCCATCGCATCATTAACCGGTGTAGGATTAAAGATCAGGTCCAGGATTCGAGTCAAATCGACCTTCCCTCTCATCTCAGGGTGAGGCAAGGTAGCTTGCTCGTTCGTTGTTCAATATCTCGGCTGCTCAATAAGTTGGACTAGCTGCTCCTCCGACCCGGAGTGGATTCTAGGGGAAGGGCAGAGCCTCACCTTGCAGTAAGTAGGAAGGTCTTCGTTGCTGGGACGGGTTCAAACTGGACTGAAGGGAGGAGGAATGAAAGACTCCGATCTTACTGGGGATTCATCACTGGCTAGGGCTTTCGAATCAAAGCATGGGCATCTGCAACTAAGAGGGAACAGTAGATCGTCGATTGAAGAGCCAGGTCAGTCAACTTCTATTGATTATTGATTCGACTAGAGGGACTCCTAGCAACTTGTAGGGGCCCCATGGAGATGCAGGAGCCGCCAGCCGAGCCGGATCGACCAATAAATGATAGGCCTGAGGGATGGGCTCATTCGACTAATTAGTGATCCCTGGCCCTACCTAACAAAGAGATGTCCCTAAACTAAAATAAGAGGGGATTGGTTGATCGGAAAGCTCGGGCAGGAGTAGAGTAGGACATTCCATAAAAATCTTTCTGATCCGCTAGCTCTCACTCCTTGCCCTATTAGGTCAAGCAGCTTCACTCCTCTCAAATCCTATTTTTTCATCGACAGGTAGGGTTAATTCTAAGGTTCCTTATTCCGGTTGTCAAGCGGAATAAGAGGGATAAAGAATGGGCACAGCCCCACCAGCAGCCCGCGTTTTCGACCCGAAAGGAATGGAAAATGAAACAAGAATCTGTGTTCACTATCTATGGAGCGGAGTGACTATCCTTAATCTCCTCTTCCCTATCTCCCCCTTGCCTTTTTTTCTTTTTCTCGCCTAAAGGTAGTTTACTTGCTTACTT